TTGTTCCCAGCGATTTAGGGTCATGACATCAGCCACCTTGGCCTGTCTTGTATTGGTGGCCCAGTAGAGACGTGCTCTGGGAAGTTTAATAATTGACATGTAAAAAATAATTCCTATAAATTTTTCTAATTCATCTATCGATAAATTCAAAGGTTTGTTGGAATTGCATTGAATTGCATATAAATTTGATTCGTAAACAATTAGAGGTAATAAATCAGTGAGATATGTATTATAATAATCCATTGGTTTTTTTACTTTATCAACCGTTGGGTTTTCTCCTTTCCACTTTGGAATAACTAACGGTAAATTAGTTAAGCAATTTTTCCAAATCATTTTTCTCACGATTCCTTTTTCATTATTGATATTTTCATCCTCTTCCGATTCATCACTCTCATTGAAATCTAGATATTTATAGATTATATAAGAGCATACATTTTAAATATACCTAAATCATTATTTTGGGTTGACAGAAACTCCTCATCAGACGATTCACTTAAATTTGAATCTTCACTATCATTAGGTATGGTACCACAATTCATAATTCTAAAAATATAAAACTCAAATAAAATACCTTATTTGCATAATGTGTCTTTAAAGCAACGTATGATTATTACAAAATATAATTATCAAAAATAATAAATATATATAAAATAATTTCATAAACATTAATTTTTACCTTTTATTTATCTAATTTTAATGTTTTGAAATTTGTCAAATATATTATTTATCCTTTTACGATGTGTAGAAAATTGAGAAGAAAAATTTTATAAAAAAATAGCCATTTTTAAAAATAGGGTTTAATAAAATGCGAAATTAAAAATAAATAATAGATCACGTGGCCCAAATTAACATTCCAATCGAAGATATGGAATGTGGCTTCAAATACACACCATGCAATTGATTTAAAATTTATTTATAAAACATTTATTATATAATTTGTGGTATGTGGATTGAGATACACAGTATGCAATACAGGGTTAATAAAATGTCCATTATATTTATTTTTATGTCATTTTTAAGAACCTTTATTAAGCTACAAAATAAAATATAAATTATTTTTCTAACATAATTATTTCTCGAGATATTTGAAAATAAATGAGGTGCATTTTATCAATAATGTACCATTTTTCCGCGCTTTAAAAGGCCATATCTTAGCGGGTAAACAGTATTGGGAGGTAAAATTTCATCTTTTTTCTTAATTATAGTATATACTACCAGTATACAAAATTTAAGAAAAATTGAAGGGGGTCGGGTTGAAAATCGACCTTTTTTTGTTGATTTGATATGGAATTCACCATATATTTAATTACATTTATTATCACATTCATCAACTAAGTTATTTTATCAATTAATTTCGATTTCAAGTTTTCCGGCGTAATATTTACTTATTATTTTCAAATTTTTAGTGGCGTAATATTTATCTTAGAGATCTGCAAAGTTAAGCCCGGCCTGGCCCGAACCTAATTCTATTTAAAATAATCGGGTTCGGGCCAAACCGGGCCTAATATTTTTAAAAAAATTTCGGGCCGGGCCGGGTCGGGTCGAACCTTGGAAATTTTTTTAAATATATCTAAATTTATTAATTTTATATTGAATTTTTTATGTAAAATAAAGATTTTTAATTTAATTTATTGAAACTAAACGCCATATAATATATGTCTTTTATTTTGAGTAATTATAAAAATTAATTTCTATATTAAAATAAATTCGGACCGGACCGGGCCGGGCAGGGCCGGTAAATTTTTTAAAAATAAATTTCGGGTTTGGATCGGGCTTGAAAAATTAGGCCCGATGTAGACCACTAATTTATCTACCATTTTCAAATTTCTAGTCAAATAATAATTATTTATGAAATTGTCCAACAGGGAGAAAGAAATTGCAACCTTGTCCAACGAGATAGAGTCTCCGCCATCAAGCAGTAACAGCTTTTATGGAGTTAGAAGAGCCGATTATTTACTATTACTGAAATATCACAATGGCCTGAAAGAAATATTTCCTCAGAAGCAAGAAAATTATTGAATTTAATGCTTATTCCAAATTTTTTTTCTCATTAGAATGTATTATTTAATTATACAACTATTTTATGTATTACTTTTCAAAAACATGACATTGACTTGATTAAGAAGATGAGAATAGCGGAGAGCATTTTATTAGAACTCAAGGAAATTAGGGCTAATGTTGATGAAGAATTTCATTTCATATTTTATATGTTATTGTTAAGTCAAAAGCAGAGCTATACATGTTTAATATTTGTTTCCCTCGACTTGCAGTAAGGCTAGCTCATAGTTAAAACATTAATATAGGATCAGTAGAAGAGTATATCTTAGATACAGATACATTTATAACCCAAATAAATGAATGGTTTTTAATTCATCATGCAGCACTTACCAATTTGCAAATATAACTTCCATAAAAGCCTTCTTAACCTTTTTCAGATGGTGATAGAAAAAAAAAATATTTGTTGGATTTTTATCATGAAGATGTTAAAGTATCTTATGATGCCTTATTAGCTGAATAACTAAATTTATAAGATTAACTAGGGTTGATATAGTCCCAAAAAATGCTAAGGATGCTCTGCATTATTTCAAACACATTTTAGATTATATTCCCAATGTATTAAAAGGGTTTATATATTTCTCTATTTTAAGAAGAATAACAGAGCCCAGCAGAGGTACCATTTGCAGAACACGGCCCAAATTTTTTAAAAATTTTTAGACACTGCCTGGCTTTTTTTTTAAATAAAATATTCCAACCCGACCCTTATTTTTTTAAATAAATTTATTTATTTTTGATTTTTATAGCTAATAATATCGATTTCAAATATGGGCTGTTTTAAAATATACAGCCCGGCGCGGATATTTTTTTTTAAAAAATTTTCAGGCTATATGTTTTTTTAAAAACCAGCCTGGGTGTTTTCTTTTAAATACCAAGAAGTACAACTTCTGAAATTAGATTGAAAGGTTTGGATCTTTTAAATATTCATAGGCATTTGACTACAAGCAAGGATGAGATAATTGAAAAATTAGCTCAATCCCAACTAAGATTTAATTTTACATTGTAAATAAATAAAATACAAATTACAATTATTCCTAAGAAACTTTTTGTGTATTAATTTATATTTCTAACATTTAAATATTTTTTACTTTGTATATAAATTTTAAACGCTCAAAAAATTCAAATTTCTATTTTGGGTCATTTAAGTGATTTTTTACATATAATTTTTTTATAATTCATATTAATTTAAAATTGTGTATTAGAACTAGTTATTAGTCCTAATAAATTTATGCTTGATAATTTTAAAAAACAATAATATCCATTTAATCTTATATCTTGGCATCGTGTTTGATGAACAACATCATGTTATGAATTGCTGGAAGCATTACCAAGTCATAATCTAGGTAACCTCTTATCAGATGAACAATTAAGAGTTGTCATAGGACATCGAGTGGACGTAACATAATTCAACCAAACATATGCATCAAATATAAAATATTAATTGATTCCAAAGGGAGACATGGTCTTAGGCAGACATGCAGCAATTAATTCAGTTATTAGTCATTCTCTCACCAAGACCCATATATCCTAGAGCTTGCTAATTTATCATTAGATGATGGCTTAAGACCAGATGGCTTAACTTCTGTGCCTTGGTCTTTAGGTAAGTCCTTAATTTGGGGCTTTACATACATCTCTACATTTCCAAAAAATTTAAATTCTGACCCGGTTGATGCTGAGAAAAAAATATAATTAAATATTCTATTTAACAAATTATATTTTTTTACCAAATGTTATCTCTTCCCTTGGACATATAAGCAGAACTTTAAAATTTTTAAAAAATATAGGCAAAATAAGAGCCCTTACACCAGAACCTAAAGAATATTATTTTTTTATAACTAAATATATATATTACAATTTTAAACTACAATTATTCATGTTTTTTGGGAACTTGTGTCCCAACTCCATTTTTATAAAATTAGTTTTTTTTAATATTTTAAATATTATTTGTGATTATTTTAAATATTTTATAGTTTTGATATATATATATATAGATATGTTATTTTATAAATATTCTATGTTATTTTTAAATATATTTCTTCAAATAAGACTAGTGCCAATATTTTTTTATTTTTGGGCAGAATATTTTTTTTTACAATTAAAAAAATATTGAATAATCTTGCCATTTTGATGTTGAAACTACATGATTATATTTTTAAACCTATTTTAGTCCTGATTTTTAATATTTGCTTTTTAAAATTTTAATTTAAACTTTTGCTGTATTTTGTTAAATTGTTTCATAAGGGAATTGAAAGTACAAACGTTAAATTAATTTTGAATGATCCATCATATGAATTTTCCAACTGATTAGGAATTTTTTTAAAAAAATATTGCTGTCAACTTTTGGTCATTATAATATTATCATTACAGGCCTAGAGATTTTTGTTATAAAATGAGCACATAGATTAGAAAATCCAATTATAATAATTGATGATAAAGATTAAAAGACATTATTAAACATTGTAACCAAATAAAGCATCTGTTAACAATATTAAGTTAGTATTTTATTTTGTGTTAATATTTTTTTCAAAATTGGGACCAAAAACTGTTATAAATTTCAAAATTTAAGAAAATATAATAATAAATGTTAGTATTTCACAAATATGTTTTGTCCATATATTTATATAATAAAAAAAAAGCTTATTTTGTGTTTTTTTTAGTTTTGGAATTAAATTTTTGATATTTTGGACACAGCCTAATAAACTCTTATATATACATTTTTATTAATCATATGATACCCATATTTAATATTTGAATTGTAATCATTTTTTAAAAAATAATTAGTATTTGAATAGTAAATAATGTACACAATCAATTAATAACTATTTCTCTAATCTGAGAGACAGTGGGAATGTGTTGAGTTAAATATATATAAAAAGAGAGAATTAAAATAGGAATAAGTTAATATAAATATGATATACACATTTACAAGTCATGAATTAAATTACCTGCATATTGAATGGAATTCCGCAAAGTTTAATTTCTTGGATTTCTTTTCACTCAACCAAAATCCAACCCTTTTAGAAAACATAAACTGATCAAGCCCTGTTTCACGATTTTTCCAGTTTCAAAATCTAATATTTAACATCACTAGTTATACAAATTTATTTTAAAAATATAATTATTCAATGATAGTGCTAGAGCAAAGTAGAAATATTATTTGTAAATAAACATAAGAATATTTTATCATCAGTGAATATGGTCTATATGTAAAGCTGTGAGCTAGTAGGTCGGTTGGCTAGCATTTTATGCCCTAAGAATGCTGCATTGATTGCTTAAATCCTCCGCCCCAGTTTCATATTATTTCAATTATATTGTTTATTTATTTTGTATATTAATAATAACTACTTTAAAATGTAATGGTAAAAAAGCTAATATATATTATATATTTTTATTTTGACACAAACTCATCACGTTGTTCCTTAGAAACTACTTGATATTCAATAAAATATTACAAGTCTTTTTTTTTACCAAAATCGATAAAATTAACCATAATTTTTATAAAAAATAAAAAGATTAAAATGGTCGTATATGCAGCACCTAACGTTATGTTATTTAAATATTGAGTTCTACAAGTCCACGAATCTGGGTAGTGATTGAAATACCCAACTCAGCTAAATTGATCTATTAGTTTATCTAAACCCATATATTGAAAAGCGACGCCCCTGTTATGTTATGGTTGGTGTTTGGGGGAAGGGGCATGTGCTCTGGTTACTACTCGCTTCTGTTTATAATTTTGTGCTTTCAATCTCTAGCCTTAACAATCTCAGGAGCCACTTTTGCCCGGCCTTCGGCCAGATTTATTTTAATATATTATACTTTTTTTAAATTTGCTAAACAAGTCATCAAAAAATAATGTTTTTTAATACAAAATCTATTTAATACAGTATAAAATATTTTCGATTGCTGATATAAAAAATTATGTGTCTAAAGAATAAAAAGTGATAAAAAAGGTTAATTAATTTATATATAAGCCTCAATTGATAATGATTTTTAAAAATTACATAATATAATATAACTCTTAGCAACTTGCATTGAGAAAAGAAAAGGTCATAAAATTTATATAAATCTCTGTTACCATTTTAGACAATATTTTATAGAATGGACTAATAACGAAAAATTTATAGGGCTAACCAAATCAACAATTCTTGAAGAAAGAATATAAACGACCAATCCAAATCATAAAACTATATGGTGGTTAGAGCATCCTCGTAGATGACATGATGGAAGCTATATAAGTAATCGAGAAAATTATTGTGAGATAATAAATTTCTTAAAGATTATCTTCCATTTTTAATAATATATAAACGACTACACAATTGACAATTATTGCTAATCTAAAATATGAAATCATATGCTCTCAGCAGCTGTAATAATAATCTTAAATTATATAGCCACACAAATAATAGATGCAAGTTAGTTTGCAGTCACAGCCATGGCACTCACGATGTTATCTCATATCAGAATTTTATATGTTAGATAAATTGATAAAACAAAAACACGTAAAACCTTTAGAAGAAATTATGCAAATATATTGAAGCCTTAAGTTATTTACACAGCAAGGATGCCATATTAATGAAACATTTTTAACTATAAAATAAGAACCAGAGTGATATAATGAAATCTATTATATTATATATATTATTGTGGCACCACCTCTAGTTGGTATATTATATCTTAAAATAATAATAGTTTGTAAAAATATCAAAAATATACTCTTAAAAATTTAACTCAAAACTGTTTTTCAAATAAGAAAAAAATAACTTTCCTAATAACACGTCAACAAAGAGAAGAAAAGATATCTAATTTATTACTTCTATGTGGGATAGAACAATTAAACTTTATGTATACTTACTTTTTATAAAGAAATCTCATATTTAGGAAGAGGATGGTAATTAAATTTAAATAAAATAATATAGTTGATTAGTGATTTTGAACTCAGCTAATTTCAATATTAAATTAGTTAATTTTCAATAAATAAATGATTATATTTATTTAATTGGGGCTATATACTCATTTAAATAATAAAAGTCAATAAGCTTCAACTATTAAAGCTAAATTAATATTGAGTGAGTTATATTGATATTCTATTTTTAACAGAATTTGATTGCAAGCTGACATTGTGAAAATATAATTTATATGTATTAATCTAATCTAATAATTAAAATAGTATTTATTTAATAAAAATTTAGATACTCATATTAATATCTAAATATTAAAATTAAATTTATATTTACTTAATAAAATTATAAAAGAAATCATTCAGGGGGCAATCAAAAAATTTAATTTTAGTTCAAGAGGATATTAAGGACCATTAAAAAAAAATTTATTGCTTCAGGGGGGCTATTCAAATTTTTTAGGAGGCTCGAGCCCCTGCGCGCTTCTCCCTAGTGACACCACTGAAATTTTCAGAGCAAACATCAAACACTGTTAATGAGAATAAAAAATGGGAAGGAGAATAAATCTATTAAAGAAAATATTATACTAGGCTCATCGTCCATTGATATTTCTGCCAAGAGACCTCAGAAACCAAACCACTTATGATGATGTAATAATTGAATTAATGATAACTGGCATTCAGCCATTTCCAATTGTTTAAAATCCTTTATTTATTTTAAAATAATTTTTTCAAAAATGAATGTCGAGATTTTAGTATTTTTAAAAATATCCTGTAAATTGTTATTCGTATAATATAACACCAAAGTAAAAAATGTTTTTACGGATAAACGAGGATGCCTTAATGACCAAAATATTATATTACTGAAATCTAGTAATTATTTATAATCATTTAATTATATATTTTCATATACATTATTATTATATTAAATTTTAAAAGTACATTATTTTAGATATACTAGTAGATAACCCGTCTAAAATGACGGGGAATGAGAATTTTCTTCTTATATTCATGCTAGATGTTACCTGTTATTTGAAAATTATATACAATTTTATTCTTTTTACCACCTCCCCCCTTCAGGCCGGGTTCAATCCATTAAAACTAAGACTAAATACTATGGTTTGAGTAAGAATAAATTTAAAGCTTTTACTTGATAATACCAATAGGTCAAATTTACTAATCATTTATACATAATATTTATTATTAAAAAAATTCCCAAGTAAAGTACAAAGCAGGGTCTACATGAGCGGGAGGGGTTGGAACAGTTTATATCCTATTTTTTTGAGGGGATAGGGGGTAAGCTGCTTTAATTGGGGTAGGATAAATTTTTTGGGGTTATCTATTAAATTTTGAGAATGAAATAGGACAAATTTTATTGCTGTAAAAATTAATACTTTTATTATAGTATTATTATAATACAATTCGTCGACCAAATCTATATATTATCTATATATTGCAAACAATCATACACATTGTTTTCCAAATAAATAGATATTTCAGCAAGCTCATAATGGCATAATTAATTCATTGTAAATAATGGAGGTTTTAATTGAATTTATTATCTAAAAAATAAATTCTTTATATTCACAAAATATCGAAAGTTGGTAGTAGAGATAGATTAATTTAAGTAATCCTTTATAAATTCTTTGAAAAGAGTATCAATAAATAAATAGGTGAAAATAATGATAAAGAAATACGGCCGCCAAAGGGGACGAGAATTTTTTAGGGGGGTAGGCAAGGGTTTTTGAAGGGGGTTTGCATCCTGTGAAAATCCTGTCATGTAGACGCTGGTACAAAGTCATAATAATTTTGAAAAATTCATCCAAGCTGAATGAAAAATCATAATAACTTTGGTAGTTGAGAACTCAAATAAAACATTTAAAGAATCATAATGAATTTAAAAATACAATAAAAATCAGATTTTCATGGGTCTAGGTTTTTTGATCATGTCGAGCCCAGGCCTGCAAAATAACTTGTTTTAGGCCAATGTCTGACCCATAGTTAATAATAAAAAAATTATCAAACGTCCAAACTCATAATTTTCTCCAAGCCCAGCCCAATATAATTTATAAAAATATTTTCCAAGCTCACTCCAACTGATAATAATTTTATAAAAATTTTTCTCAAGCCTGGCCAACCCATAGTAATTTTCAAAATTTTTTCCCAAACCTGGAGATAGGTAAATCTCTGGATCCGACAAAATGGTAAGCTTATAAAAAGGTAGGATCCTTAAAAATTGTTATATTAATTTAGTTAAATATTAAAAATGTACTTTGTATATTTTTCAGTTAGTTAGATAAAATATTCATAAGAGATAAAAGGACATGACATATTGTGCAGCCTGACAAAATGGATAGCCTTAAAAATAGGTAGGATGATAAAATAATACAAATTTAATTAAATAGTTAAAAAAAATGACTTGACTAAATTAATGAGTCTTATCAGGAGATAAAAAGTGTTATTTTTGAATTATTCACTATTCATTTACATTTTCCAGAATTATTTTATGTTTTTTTATAGATATATTCTTAAATATTCTGCGCAAAAGTCATGCGAATGAAACAAAATAAGATAAGGGTGATTTATTTTGTGAACATTTATAGAAATGGCCCCCAAAATAAAGATTTAAATTGGAGGAAAAGGAAGAATAAAACTATTTACATTCCTACGTTACGTTTAAATTTATCTGTTTTCAGATATAATATTTTAACCTAGATAAGTATTTCCTTATTAAGAATTTACTATTTTAAGATAAGATAGCACTCGTTATTCATTTCCTCCGTTCATTTCCTCCGGAGATTATATTGGAAGATAAGGTTGAGCAAAAGCAACATTTATTATTTAAATTCCTCAGTAGTATAAAAGTCTATGTAGCCGTTATATTAAAATGAATCCATTGTGTTAATTAAAACCATACAGCATCCTAAATTGCATCATTATTAGTCATCAATTTATTAATTTTAGTTACACAACAGTTTGGCTTAATTTTAATAATTCATAATCTAATTTATAGGATAGATGAGACATTCAGTCTAGTTTAACACAATTTAATAAACTTATTCAAATATTTAAAATTTCAAACCAGGAAAATGTGATGAGAAATTAAATTTAATTTAACACAATTTAATAGACTTATTCAAATATTTAAAATTTTCAAAACAGGATAATGTGATTGAATAAGGCA